TCTAGCTATTTCTTTTGGGTGGGTTATGCGCCAGTTAGATGTGAAAAATGCTTTCCTTCATGGTCACCTTACTGAAGAGGTTTATATGCGTCAGCCCCGGGGATTTATTCATCCTCAGTTTCCTCATCATGTGTGTCGCCTGCGAAAAGCTATTTATGGCCTTAAGCAGGCCCCTCAAGCTTGGTTTCATCGGTTTAGTAGCTTTCTTCTGACTAATAATTTTTCCTGCAGTAGGTCCGATAATTCCTTATTCATTTATCGTCAGGATCAATCTGTAATTTTTCCCATTATTTCACAGCTTCTGCGAGGCCATTTTGTGTATGTACATGGGGAATAGGATGCTCTACATCAATCCCGATGGACATGCAATATTCATCAAAAGTCTTTGACGTAAACTCTCCAGCATTATCAAGTCTTATCAACTTAATAGGATTATCAGGGTGGTGAGCCCTTAAACGGATTATATGTGCTATGAGGTTTGCGAATGCAGCGTTCCTTGTGGACAATAAAGAACGTGTGACCAACGGGTCGATGCATCCACCAGAACCATAAAGTATCTAAATGGTCCGCATTCTGGATGGATGGGTCCACCTATATCTCCTTGTATTCTTTGTAAGAATGTGATGTTTTCTTTTGCATCTTTAGCATAGGATGGTCTCGATCCTGTTTTTGCTAAAGAACATGCTTTACAAAATGTTATTCTTGATCTGGACATAGTTAAAGATGCATGAGTGATCGGCTTAAACTTGCAAGTGTACAAGTGCCAATGTAGTAATAAAATCCGGTAAAAATACCGGGTCGAACACGAGGAAACGTTGTTTATATGATTCAAAAGTTGAGAGTGGAATTTGTAAAAGTCTTAGTAAAAGAGTATAAATTTTTGGTTTTCAAGTGATAATAAAAGCAACCAAGGGTTCGGGATTACTCCTAAACGACTCCTAGCGATTAATGTATATTCTTTCCCCAATTCTTATGAGTGGAATGTCGCTAAAGTATTCTAACTCCTGTTACGGCAGCGAGATTGTGATTAATTCTACGTGTGAATCCCGTCACGGTTCACATTCATCTAAAACTAACCTCATTGAAGATTAGGACATTATTAAAACCACCATATTCAATTGAGGTATATTTCTATCCACAATTAAAATATGTCTAACCTTCAAGTGCACGGTTTATAACTCAACGTTAATTGTTCAAATAAACCCAACGATATAATCATACGTTGTACACCATAGTCATACACATTTAAATATAAAGGAAAGATCATAATAAATTGATTGAGAACATACATCAAACACCTAGAGTGCGTAAAGTTTCATCCCTAACCTTGGCTATGGAAAATTCAAGTATTGAAATGATGAAATACAATGAAATACATAAGAAAGTAATACCACAACTCCAAGCTATGGTGGACAATGGAGTCCCCAATTGTAGAACTTCTTCCAAGACCAAGGGGTTGATCTTGGAATGCTAAAATGGAAGTAAAGTGTGTGGAATATGGAATAATGTGTTGAGAGGGCTTCAACATGCTTAAATATTAAGCTCCTAACGGCCATTTTTGGAAAAGGAAGCAAGCTCCTTAATGGGGTTTGGAGTTTCTCCCGAATGATTGTGATGACCGTTGCTTGTTTTAATCAGTTCCAGACGAAAGGCGGGCGACTTTCTCAAAAGCCGGGCGGCTTTTGCGCGTTTAAAATAATCTTTCTCTGCTCCAGGGGTCGAAAGCCGGGCGCCTTTTGCCAAAAGCCGGGCGACTTTTGGTTTAATTTACTGAATTAATTATGCTGCGACGAAAGTCGGCCGGTTTTCACGAAAGCCGGGCGGCTTTCGTCATTTCTTGCTCCGGACACCTTTTCTTCTCTTTGGACGCGAAAATAAGCTGGGTAAGCAAAAGCCGGCCGCCTTTGGCATAACCCGGGCGGCTTTTGCTCGTCTTGTGCCTTTTTTTGGACTTCGTTTGTTCCTCGGGATGCGTTTGGTTGAGCTTTTTCCGTCGGTTTTCTTTGTGTGTATTCTATCATCCTTGTTTTTTGTCCAATCATCGATTTAGAGCACTTCTAGCAAAACGAGGCATATGTGTGAAGATTTTGTTCTTTTTAAGCATAAAGCGTTTTAAGATGAATATATAAAACACGTTAATAAAACGCTTATCAATGAGCTGATTCTTCTCATACTTCATAAGATGCTTTTTCGTATTCTATAAATGTAGGGCTAATCCCTTTCAATGTGTTTGATTTTTGCCCATTTTTATTCCTTCCTCGAAAGAAAGGATGTCCATGCGAAATTTTTAATATATGAATCATCATGTCACGACCAGGATGACCAAGATGATCGTGCCAAAGCCTATATGAGTCTGTCCCAAATTTCATCGTTGGTGACAACATAGGATTCAAAGATACGAATAGTGGTGACATAAAGTCCACTAGACTGACTCATTAATTTCTCTAGTATGCGCTTTCTTCCGCATTCATTAGAGGTAATGTAAAGATATTCTACACCATTCTCACAGTGAGTTTCCACATGAAACCCATTTTCACGAATATCTTTAAAAAAAATAAGGTTCGGGTAGCTCTAGGTGCATATAGAGCGTCTGTGACGATGAATCTTGTGCCATTAGGCAGCATAAATTGGGCAGTACCTCGCCCTCTTATTACGTCTGAAGATCCAATCATTATAGTCACAGAAGAGTTATAGGCTATTAATTTAACAAATAATTGCCTATTTCGTAGGATAGTGTGTGTGGTCCTACTATCTACTAAACACTCAAGTTCTCCTCGGGTCATTCCTGTATAATAAGGACACAAAATATAAATCCGAACCCACAATTTAAATATTGTTTGGATTATCAATCCAATTATTAAGGGAAAAACAATAATCATTTAGTGTCCAACACAAAAGAGATATAAAACCACACGCAAATAGTAAAAGTGTTCAACAGTCCATGAGCAGGTAAAGAAATTAAGTTTAATTAGTCATAGTCAGGTGCATCGAGTGACTGAACAACGTCCTTCTTGCCGCCAAAATCAGCAACTGTGAGGTTAACGTCAACCTCATTATCCTCGTCGGTCACAAAGTGAGATTCCTGTTCTTTAGCCCCCCGATACTTTTTGTAAGCTGCCGCAATTTTATTATTTGCTTGGCAATTCTTATGCCAGTGACCTGCAACTCCACATGTATAGCAAGAGTCTCCGTCATTTCTTTCTCGTTTGGCTGAAGGCTTTCCGGATGCATTGCGGGCATTTGATCTTGCACCCTCAACTCTTCGCCATACATTGGAAGATCCTCCACGACCCGGACCACGGCCTCCACGGCCCCCGCGGCCTCCACGGCCCTTATTGCTCCTGCCACGTTTTGAATATTGTCCACGTGAGTACTAGTTAGCAGGCCCCTCCCCCTTTGTTTTCCCAAGTTTTGTTGCATCTGAAAACACACACCTTAAAATGTGTACTGATCTCTCAGACAAGTATTTGTTTTAATATACACTATCCAGACTCCGAGTACATAATTATTTTAATTTTTTGTTAATAGTATGAATAAAAATACTACTACTAATGAATGTGAATTTGTATCTAGGATATATAAATAGTAAAAAAAGAATAGTAGTCCATAATTGATACTACATCCGTCCCGTTGGAAGGTTTCCATAGTAAAACGGCACGGTTATTTAGGTGATAATGATATAAAGTACTTCGAGTATATTTTGAGAAATAATTTTAATAGGTATATATTATAATGTAGTTAGTATTGATAACTGTTGTTGAGGTTTTGTCCCGTAGATCCGAAAGTCCAACATAAACTTTGGATATTAAGGACGATTAATTCGGTACAAAAGTAAATAAAAATAAGAAAGTGTATGAACTAGCTATTTTTACGTGGAAACCCGGAAAGAGAGAAAACCACGGGACTTTTTAGGCTAACGTCCAAGTCCGCTCTTTCTCATTAATATACTCTCCTCACCAATTACATATTACAAGACTTGAGCTCCATTCATGGAGGTTGAAGAAGCTTGCTCATCTAAAGAAGAAGTAATGAGGAAGATGAGATTCTGAGAGAGGAGAGAAGCTCCAAAAAAGAGGATCCTTTAATAGGAAGCCTTGCTTCCTGTTTATAGATGGGGAAGGGGTTGCCAATGGGACAAAGGGCCTAACGGGCCGAAAAGGCACAAATGGGCCGAAGCAGGCCTAAATGGGCCTCGTCGATTGGGCTCCGTATCGGGGTGATGCTTTGGGCCTTTGAACAGTAGTGAACCGGGATAATATATTCCAACACAAGTTACCCAGTTTCTTGAGTAGTGAGTCTGTAAAACTTTAAAATAATTACCCAGTTTTTAAAAAGTTGATACGTGTATCCGTCATGATACGAGTATCTGAAACTTTAAAATAATTACCAAAAAAGTTGGAAACTTTTAAAAATTGTAGATATGGCCCGGGAACGTACGGTACGGGTATCCTAGAGTATCGGATACGAGAACTTTTCCGATACGCCGATACGGCACCCTAGTGAAGTATCCGTGCTTCATAGATGGACACTATATGTGAACAATATATCTGTCATGCTCATTATAATCATCGATCAACATATAATTATTTATTAAGAAAAAAAGAATGTATTACTTCAAGTCTATTAATTATACTCTATATTGTACGGAGTATATGACTTCTTATTCTCTTTGAATTTATTTATTACTTCTATTTATATAAGTACTTTCATTAACTAATACTGCGTATTATTAACAAATGATATACTACGTAATATTTTTGTTCCGTGCATCGAATGGGTGAGAATCTAGTCTTGTTAAAAGTGAGAAGTAGAGGACTTAGGGCGGGCATGTAGGGCAAGTGCCCCCGCTTCGGGTCACAAAAAATGCTACTAGTATATTGTTGCCCCCGCTTCTATTCGATTGAATGATATTAGTTCCCAGATGATCGTTTAAACTCGGTATCACGTAAACTGCTAGATAGAAGCATCATTGTGTTTAACTAGTAACATGCTATAATTATGGAACCCCCAAGGCAGGGCAGGCCATGACCAAGTAGTGTAGGCTGTGGGATTGCACAGGGCCATCTAAAATTGTAGGCCCAAAATTAATTAGTACCCTATGTTATTACTCCGTAGTTGATACTACGTATATAACCATAAACAGTTGAAGGCACATGCCCAAAATTAGCTCAGTAGCTGCGGTTTAGTTTCATTGGAAGCCAGGGTTCCGTTTTTCCTCAAGGGGATTGAGTACTGGATTTACGCTACACGCTTCACAAGTGGGCTCAATTTTTACACCATTGTTGCCTTCGACTTTTTACTATTTAGTGGACTAGGTAATTTATCTGTGTCGCTATTTTTGTCTTTATTTTGAACTGGAGCTAGAGAATCATTACATTCCTAATAGAGTAGATTAGTTATTTATTTAATTATCATTAGTTTGGGACTCCTTTTGTAATTATTACTCTTATTTCCTATATATATATATATATCTGCCAGGGCTAACGTTATGGTTAAGCCTGGTATTATTTCTCACATGGTATCAAGAGCCACAGCCATCTAAATCCCTAATTTTTTTTTCTTTCGGCCGACATGTCCAGCGAGCAAAGCTCCGCTGCCCTTGAGTCCTCTATGCCGCCGATCTCTTCGGTCGCTACTCAGCAGGTGCAGGCGTCGAATTTCTCTGCAGCGCCGGGGATCACAGTAGATATTGGTCTCTCTGCCGCGCAGCTTCATCTTCCGTCCACGATGCTCTCCTCGGTCGAAAACTCACAGATGCAGTCTTCGTTTTTCTCCTCTCAAGATGCGGTCTGGACTCCGCCAATATTTACCTGGACCCCTACTCCACCTACGGTGCGTCCGGCGTCCTCAGTTCTCCTCTCTGGCAGTCGCAGCATTCCCCACGTCGCAGAATCCTCTGTTTTTGCTGGTCCGACACTCGCAGGTGATCCAGGGATTGCGCCACTCCTTAACTCAGGACCTATCGCTCCTCGTTCGAATATTCTGCCCGGTCCAGGTTCTTCGTTGTCTGATTTAGTTAAAACCATTGGACTTTCTGCACTTAATATTACAAATATAGTTACCACTAAATTGAATGCCGTGGAAGATTACTTGTCTTGGCGTACTCAATTTGAGTCGTTTCTGGTCTCCAATGGTTTTTTGGGTATTTTAAATGGCTCGATTCCTGCTCCTCCCCCCTATCTTTTTTATGCATGTCAGCGTGAGGTTCTTAATCCAGATTATTGTAATTGGTTAAAACTTGATCAAACTGTCCGGTCTTGGTTGTTTGCTACTCTGTCACGTGATGTGTTAATTGAGGTTCGAGAATTAAAAAATGCTTCAGCTATTTGGGGTCGTTTGGAGTCACATTTTATGTCTGCTAGTCTTGCTCGGTCCATGGAACTGAAACGACAGCTAACTCATTCTCGGAAGAGTCCCACTCAGTCCATGGATCACTATCTTAGGGCTATTAAAGATATTGCTGATAATTTGGCCTGCATTAATTCTCCGGTCTCTACCAAGGAACTCTTTGAGACTATTTTGCTTGGTTTGGGAAGAGACTATGAGTCTCTTATTACTTCGGTAGAATTGTTTCCTGAAAGTTTTACGTTTGAGAAATTGCGCACACACCTCATTGAGAAGGAGCAGACCATTCAATATATGCGTACCATGGAAGACTCCACTCAAGCTCAGGCCTTTGCGGGTCAAGTTCAGCCCGCAGGACCACTTCCCCATGGCGGGCAGCAGCAGCAGCATAATGGCGGCCAGCAGCAACAACAAAATGGCGGCAGAGGACAACGCGGCCGAGGAGGCCGCGGGCAGCGTGGCCGAGGTGGCCGCGGCGGTCGGGGGCAGAGGGGTCGTGGCTATGGCCCACATCAGGCTGGCTATGGTTTCGGCTATGGCTATCTTCCCCCCGGCTATTTTCCAGGGGGTGCACCACATGCTGGCATTCTTGGGGCTCCAGGCTCAGCGGGTATGTCTGTTCAGTCAAATTTTTATACTTTTGCTTTATCTGCTTCTTGTGCTAATCGTGGTTATGCAGGCTCTTCTTCTGGTGAAGGGAATTCAGTCCCTCCCCCCGTTGTTTGTCAGATTTGTTATGCTCCAGGTCACCCTGCGTCTACCTGTCCCTCTCGTTTTACTCAGCCGGCTGCACCTGCTCTTGCGGCTCACGCTCCTGATGCATCCGATTTTGTTTGGTATCCTGACTCAGGTGCCTCAGCGCATATGACACCACATCTAGGTATTTTATCTAATAAATCCTTTTCACCTAATTCTCATTCTATCATTGTTGCAAATGGTACATCCCTCCCTGTTATGCATACTGGTCAGGCCATTTTATCTTCCTCCAGCCGTCCTCTTCATTTAAAATCTGTTTTTCATGTGCCTAACATTAAATATAATCTTTTGTCCATTCACAAATTGTGTGCTGACAACAACTGTGCTGTTATTTTTGACAAAAATTATTTTTCTGTCAAGGACCTAACAACGGGGGCGGTTCTTCTTCGGGCGCATAGTGATAATGGTGTCCACCCTGTTCGCCAACCTGCACCTTCACCCATTGCTTTATCCGCAGTTTCGTTATCTTTATGGCATAATAGATTAGGACATTGTGGTACTCGTGTTTTAGATCAGCTTCGCATTAATAATTGTATTTCTGGAACTGCTACTTCTGTTTCTGATTGTATTCCCTGTCGTTTGGGGAAATCTCAACGGTTACCATTTAATAAAGTTTTTCATAATAGTCCATGTGCCTTGTATTTAATTCATTCTGATGTATGGCAATCTCCCGTGCATTCTCATCTTGGTTATAAATATTATGTTTGTTTTGTGGATGATTTTTCACGTTTCACTTGGGTTTACCCCATGCGGCGCAAGTTTGAGGTTCTTACTCATTTTCATCATTTTAAATTAATGATTGAAAATTTACTTGACCGCAAGATTAAGATTTTTCAGAGTGATGGAGGGGGTGAATTTGACAATTTCTCTTTACGTAATATTTTTACTACTCATGGTATAGTTTTTCAAAAATCTTGTCCTGAAACTCCACAGCAAAATGGTGTGGCTGAGCGTAAGCATCGGCATTTACTTGAACTTGCACGCACTATGCTTATTACTGCTAAGTTACCAGCTACTTTTTGGGTGGATGCCGTGCTTACCGCCACTTTTATTATAAATCGTTTACCCTCTCCTGCTCTACATGGTCTCTCTCCGTATGAAAAATTATTTCACTCCAAACCGGATTTTTCTATGATGCGAGTCTTTGGTTGTGCATGTTTTCCTAATTTTAATGCTTCATCCGCTAATAAACTTTTGCCACGATCTATCACATGTGTTTTTTTAGGCTATGCGTCTGAGTATAAAGGGTACCGTTGTTATGATCCTATTTCTGGCAGAGTGTATATCAGTAGGAATGTTAAATTTCTAGAAAATATTTTTCCATACTCCGATTTAATGCGAACCACAGTGTCTACGTCTAGAGTGTCTAATTCATCTTCCCCCCTTATTCTCTCCCATGCCCGAGACTCCCAGGTACCATTCTCCCCCGCACTTTCTCCATTGCTTATTTCATCACCCACTAGCAGACCCTCTTCGGCCAGTACTACCACACCAACCAGCTCCCCAATTACACCTCACTGCTCCACTACCTATACCGATGACCCACCAACCAGCCTCCCACTTACACCTCAGCCCAGCATTTCAGCCGAAACTACAGGCAGTCCGTCCTTTTCCACTACCGAGCCACCTTCACCAGTCACATGTCCCGTTTCATCGCCTCCCCCCTCCGCCCCGATTGCTAATGTTCATCCCATGCAAACCCGATCCAAATCCAGGATTTTTAAACCCAAAGCTATTTTCAATTTAAATACAGTTGTTAGCACACATGATCCTACTTGTTTTTCAGAGGCAAATAAACAGCTTAAGTGGAGAGCCGCTATGGCTGAGGAATTTAATGCTCTTATCTCTAATCATACATGGGATCTTGTACCGTTTGATGCTAGAAAGAATATATGTGGTTGGGTCAAAATGGATTTATAAGACTAAATACTTATCTGATGGTTCTGTGGATCGCTACAAAGCAAGGTTGGTTGCTCAGGGGTTTAAGCAGCAGGTAGGTATTGATTTTACTGAAACTTTTAGTCCTGTTGTCAAACCTACTACTGTTCGTCTTGTTCTTTCTTTAGCTGTGTCTTTTGGTTGGCCTGTTCGTCAACTTGATGTCAAAAATGCCTTCTTGCATGGTCATCTTACTGAGGAAGTATATATGCGTCAACCTCCGGGTTTTGTTCATCCTCAGTTTCCCACTCACTTGTGTCGGCTGCGTAAAGCTATTTATGGTCTCAAACAGGCCCCCCGTTCATGGTTGCATCGCTTTAGCAGTTTTCTTTTGTCTCATGGTTTTGTCTGCAGCCGGTCTGATAATTCCCTATTTATTTTTCGCCGCCACTCTGATGTTATCTACCTGTTACTATATGTTGATGATATCATTGTTACAGGTAATTCCATTACATTAGTGAGTCATTTTTTGTCTCTTTTGGCTAAGTGTTTTGCTATGAAGGACTTGGGTGAATTACATTTTTTCTTGGGGATTCACGCCACTCGTATCTCCTCTGGGTTATTTCTTTCTCAGCATAAATATGTATCTGATCTTCTTCATCGCTTTCATCTTCATACTTTAAAACCTATTCGCTCACTGTTTCCTAGTCGCACCAAACTTTCCCTCACTGATGGAGAGCTTCTTGCTGATGTCACGGAGTACAGAAGTATGGTCGGGGCATTACAGTATTTAACTTTGACTAGACCAGATATTACTTTTGATGTACACTTGGTTTCCCAATTTATGCATGCCCCCCCGTGCTTCACATATGTCGGCTGTTAAGCGTATTTTCAGGTACTTACAGGGCACCATCGATCATGGCTTACTTCTTCAGTCTGCTCACGGATCTCAAACTCTCATTGCTTATTCAAGTGCTGATTGGGCTGGGTGTCCTGATACTGGTCGGTCCACTTCTGGTTATGCCATTTTTCTGGGACCAAATCTCATCTCCTGGCGGTCCAAGAAGCAGCCCACGGCCTCCCGATCATCTACAGAGGCTGAATATCGCGCCGTGGCCTTTACAGTTCAGGATACTATACACATTCGCTCTGTCTTGTTTGAGCTTGGGTTTCCTATTCGAATGCCTACCACCTTGTTTTGTGATAATGTTTCAGCCTCATATCTTTCTGTTAATCCTATTCATCATGCCAGAAGTAAGCACATTAATATTGACTATCATTTTGTTCGTGAGCGGGTGGCCCATGGAGATCTTTGTGTCAAGTATGTTCCTACACAGGCTCAGCTGGCAGATATTTTTACAAAATGTTTGTCCCCACAACGGTTTACTCTTCTTCGTGACAATTTGCGCATTGTTTCCTTTGCACAGTTTGAGGGGGTGTAATAGAGTAGATTAGTTATTTATTTAATTATCATTAGTTTGGGACTCCTTTTGTAATTATTACTCTTATTTCCTATATATATATCTGCCAGGGCTAACGTTATGGTTAAGCCTGGTATTATTTCTCACAATTCCTTCCTTTTTTTTTGACTTTTTGGATTTCATCTATGCTTTGCACGAAATTTTATTCCTGATAATACTCCTTATTTAATTATCAGCAGATAATGAAAATAGGACTTATGGCTCAACAACCGTCTCCAATCGTGGCACTCACCACTCGCCATAGTCCAACCACAGTCTAGATTAGTTTTTTGATTTTTGAATTACAAAATTTTCATTTATTTGTATTATTGCAATATTTCTTAATAGGTTTCAAGGATGAGATAGTTCGTAGCCGAGTTTTAAAAAATCAAGATTATTAATTTGTTAATTTTGCATTTGTATTTATAAAATTGATACTACATCTTTGCCTTAAAATTTACCCATAAGCCATATCTCAAGCTTTGACCAACTATAATTGGAAAAAAGGTCAAATAGGGCCTCAAACTTACATAAAAAGGTCAAATAAGGGTTTATATAAGAGGCTCTGTCCGGCTGACGTCATTTGGGGCGGTTCCCGGTGGAATTTGTGATGAACTTTTTTGAGCATCTTATTCATTAAGTCTAGTTTACTCATACCAAATTTCAGCTAAAACTTCAATCGAAAAGGCATTCAAATAAATTCTTGAAGAACTGCGTTTTTAACTGCACAGTTATATTCAAAAATTGATTTGAAACTTCAATTTGAGAGTATATATCGTGTCCTTTGGACTTTGGGTAAAGAAGAGATTAAAATAATGTTAATCAGAAAATAATTATTTCAGCAAAAGAGTAATAAAGTTATTGGAATAATTGAATCAGAAAAGTTGGTTAAATTTAATTAGGTACTACCACTTCCCTCGAGAGCAATTTTTCATTTTTCATTTCAATACTAAAAAAAATTTCCAACAACAAACGTTACCAATTTACCATACTTTATGGCACAAAATAACATTGGGCCCCACTATGCAAAGCTACATCCGCCCATTTTTCATTCATCTCATCATCCTATATAAAGCCGATAATATGAGAACATATATGATCATATAAGCTAAAGTAGTATCTTCTATACCAATGTCGACAGAAAGCACAGAGCAGATTCTTCACATGAATGGTGGTACCGGAGACCATAGCTATGCTCATAATGCAACAGCTCCGGTTCGTATTCATAATTCACTTTCTTTCTCCTTCTCCCTCTCTCAACCATCATATATCACTTGGCTCAACTTCTGAATTTGAAGTGTTGTATGTCCAAATTTCATCCCCAAATCTCCTTATACACACACAATTTGAAATATTCATTCCTTACATAGGTTCTCGGGATTTACTTTGAAACCATGAAAAATATAAGTTCTAATTATAACAACTCAAAAGTGAAAATAAGACACATAAAATGAGACGATGGTGAGGTACGTAATCCATTGAGAAAGAGTACATGCATAATGCATTACTCGTGTAGTATACTCCGTATTTATTTACTTGCAATTAAGCAATTTTTTAAGAGTGGAAATAGTATGTATAATGAATAATGTAGAAAAAAAGGTAAAGTGTATGAGACGATATATGAAAAAGTATAAAAGAAGAGATGTAAAGTTGATTGTATAATAATATTAATGTATTTGTAGATGAATATTTACCAAAATAGGATAATGTTGCAAATAATAAATATTTCCGACAAAATAATCCGAGTATGTTGCAAGTCAATAAAAACACGGTCTATAAAAAAAGAAATAATTTCAAATATATAACTAAAACTAAAGCAGTGGACAAAAATATGGCAGTATATTTTAGAGAATATAATTGTATTCAAAAGTAAGATCATAGTGACTATAATACTTACCTTTAGTAATTTATGGTCACATTTTTTTATCAATTGATAAATTTTCTATTAATAACATTTTAGGAAAAACATTTAAAAAAATTATTGTTTTACATAATAGTACCGCTCTAGCTCTTTATTTAAACTTCATATTCACTGTCCGTGCGGTCAACTTGATTTTCCTTTAATCTCAAATTTTATAAAATAAAGTTTTATCATTTTGAATTCCAATTTTATGACTATAAAACTAATAGTGTAGTATGTAAATACATAAATATTAATTACGAGTATATATTAAAAATAATCCAAATGTCGTGAGGGAGTATTTAACTTTAATTTACCATCGCCAATCAAGCAAACCAATGGAGTATGTATATTCATTATACTTATACGTAGTATAAGATAGTAATTAGCGTTCATGCATGTGTTTACTAATTACCAGCTAAAAGTGACGATGAGAGCCAAACCAATCATGGAAGAAAGCATAAAGAAGATGTTCCAAAGAATCGCCACTTCTCCAAGCTGTTTAAGAATTGCAGATTTGGGGTGTTCGTCGGGAGCTAATGCATTAAAGGCTGCATCCAACATCATGGACATGATTTCTATGGTAGCAGAAGAAGAAGCCATGATTATGAGCAGTGATGAAAAGCTTCCTGCAACTTTTCAAGTTTTCCTAAACGATCTGTTTGGGAACGATTTTAATGCACTGTTCAAAGTGGTACCTGAATTACACAAAGAGATCAGGACAAAGTCTGATGGGCTGTGTTTCTTTAATGCAACGCCTGGGAGCTTCTTTGGCAGACTCTTCCCCTCCCATTCCATACATTTCTTCCATTCTTCTTTTGCCGTCCACTGGCTCACTCAGGTCACACCTACACACTTTTACTTGTAGAACAAATTTCCCACACCGAAATGGTATGAAATAATAAAACACTATATAAATCTCGACCTTTTAGATGGAACCCAAGGTTTTAATATGGTACATATCAAAGTCCCTATCTCTTAATATGGTATCAGAGTTAAGTCTGATTATGGGTTGAATGTTTGTTTAGCACCAATGACATGGTAACTTGTTAAGAGGAAATTACGAAAATACGGGAGTTTTATGTCTGACAAGCCAAAACACGGGAATCCTAATTAGGTTACCAAAATACGGGAGTCGGATTCTATTTTGGTGACTACTTCTGGTCAGATTAGCCTATTCCGACTAGGTTGGAGCTGGTTTTGTTAATTATGGTTAAATAAATTGAAGTAACCTAAAAAGTAAATTCCAAAAGAAACACTACTGTCGCATTAGCCAATTCCGACAAGGTTGGATCGATTTTTTTAAATTCCAAGTATAAAAAAATGGCAATTTTGAGCAACTATTTAAAAATCTAAAATAAATACTTATGTTTTGGAAATTTTATTCGGATCGGTCATACATCACCCGCTTAATTTGAAATTTTTTTACTTGGGGCTGGGCACGGGCCGGGGCGGGTAATGCAAAATAAAATTGAACTGCCGGTTCCAATGTACGGTTCGATCCGGTCCGGATATTGCAATTTTCAAAATAGGAACCGGACCTTACCCAGTCCGTTTGAAACGGGTCGGACCTGTCCGGGTTTTACGGTTTCGATTCCTGTGTCTTAAAATTAGTAAAAACTTACGAAAATCCAAAAATAAGTAATCAATAATATAGGACATTAGCAAGTTTGAAAATAATAACATAGTGGTGCACATGTAACACAAGTAACAAGTCCAATACTCCATAATTTCATGTATCTAAATTCCAAACAATTAAAGAAGTTCCAAAATTAGATTAATTTGCGGAAAATTGCCAAAATATAAGAACTTGGTATATGTTGCGTCTAAACTGTGCATCTAGATTACTTGCAGGGTAACTTGTGTTTAGCAATGGGAATGAAATAAAAAATAAAATAAAGTAATCAATGTTTTTTTTATTTATTCATTTTAAATAAATTGCACGGTATGTATTACTTCAATTCCAAAAAACTGACTTTTTTTAATTAAAAAAATCATTCAAAGGGATTGTGCCAATTCGGAATTTAAAGCATTTTATTAAAAATCCAAACTTTTTTCAGCCCCTTTTTTCAAATCACTTCATTACAAATAAAACTAAATTTAAAAAATAAAATATACACCTCGTCGGAATTGGTGTATCCGACCACTAGCGAGCCAATTCCGACTCCCGTTTTTTTGGAAACCCTAATTTTTTCCCCGTAATTTGGCAAGGGATGTTGAGAATTCCCGTATTTTGTTAAATCACCCAACTTGTTAAGAGTTTGTTTGACTCATTTATACATTTCATATTATTCCTCCCGATTTAGGTTAAGGGACGTAAATGTCTCTCACTATAATAGCATGAAAATATAAAGCACTATATAAATCCTAGGACACTCCTCCTATGAGGTTGGCAAGATGGAACCCCAGATCTTAACAGGTTTTTACTACTATAATATGGTAATATAATTGGTAGTATTTTCTAATCACGACAATAGTTAATTACTCGTATAGATCATGAGTATTTTAACAATAGACTAGTTTTGTAAATACAATTTAATATTTATAAAATATTTCTTTAAAGATTTTATGAATAATAACATTATTGTAAATTTGTATTTAGAACATTCTTGGGGTATTTTAAGTTTGCACCCCATTTGATTGTCGAAATTAGACTTTGCACCCCGTTTTTGAAATTTTTAGTATTTGCACCTCAACCCCGTATGAAATGACTAAAATGCCCCTCAATTAACAGTTTTGTTGGCCTTCAACATATTCCTGATCGAGGGGCATTCATTTATATCTTTCTATATAGGGTTGGGGTGCAAATACTAATGATTTCAAAAACAGGGTGCAAAGTCTAATTTGGACAATAAAATGGGGTGCAAATTCAAATTATCCCAACATTCTTTTATCATATTTTTATTAATGCTTAACCTTGTAATTATTATTAAGGAAGCAGTCCAACTCACCGATCAGCGACTCACTCTCCCATATGGGAGGTCTCGTGTTCGAAATTTCATGTTAGCAGTCTCAGCCCTATTTATCCGAGACTACCCCGCGAGGGGCGTAGCTAGGGGGCCAACGCTGGCCCCGGCCCAGCCCAAATTTAAAAAATGTCTATGTTTTTATTGTAAAAAATTCTGTGTAAAAAATTTTCAAAAATATTCTTTGTACCGGCCAGTGTGGCCCAGTGCCCTGGCTCCACCCCGATAACCCTCCCCTTCCCCAACCCCCTAGGGTAAAAAGAAATACATCTACATTCCAAAGTTGGTCTAGGTTTGGTTGATAGAGTAACTTATTGTTATAAATAAGCTGCAGGCTCCCAAAGAGATGAGGGGAGAAATAGAACTACCAGTTGATAAAGAGGGAAGCAATGTTTATTTGACAAGCATAAATCCACCATCTTACAAGGCTCAATTTAAGGAAGACTTGAAGTTGTTCTTGAGATCACGTCATGAGGAAATAGTCCCAGGGGGGACCATGTTTCTAACTCTAATAGGCAGTTATGACACTTCTGATTTCCAGTGCCGGCCATAGGGGCATCCAGCCTAGACATTTGTCTAGGGCCTCCAATTTCTAAGGGGCCTCCAATTTTTCATGTAAGCCCATATATATTATATATAAATACTTGATTTAAATTGCTAATTAATGATAAAACATCTTCTAATCTAACAAGTACGGAGCAAAACATTAAAAAATTTAAAACTGGCAGACGAGTGAGGGAGCGGACGAGTCTAAGAGTCTTCAGTTTTCTCGATTTGACCTTTCAATTTCTCTTCTTCGGCTCTTCAGAAACGGCAAATCCCAGCAATCGCCAATAGCTGGTCCCCTACTCCCCTCTCAATTCTGTCGGCGCAGACCGCAGTGGCCACCGGCCACAAAGTCCCAACATCCGCATTGTGCACAGGTGCACAGCAGCACAGGGCCTCTGGCTAAAAGAGTAATGGACTAAAATTATGTAATGGTCTTCTGTCCAACTGTCTTTACTCGTGATAATCTTTCTGGCAGCTTTTAAAATGATCAAATCCTTCAATTATTGATGTAGTTGATCTATCTTTTAATTTGATTGCCTTGAATTGTTAATTCTTTAATAGTTAGTTGGTGTTAGGACTTAGGCAGTAGGTTATAGCCTTCGGTAGAGACAGGGATTGTAGGGACTAGGCTATTGGTATTTGTTGTATAATTATATTATAATAAATCAAATAATAATAATTCAATTTAATCATTAAACATTATTGTGTATTTGTATAATTGTATTTATATTATTCAATATTGAAAGTTACAAAAACTTTATCTAGTTAGAAATTGTATGAAATTGTAGGTTTACGGGAAAACGAAAACATGACTCGGGGTCTACAAAGAGATTGAATAAATTAAGAAAAGACATGGTCATAAAATCGTTTGCCGGCCTATGGATCGGTACATGATATCTAAACCTTATCCCTCAAATATTGTTGAGAATGAGGCTACAAATGTTGAGGTTGAAGTAAATGTTAATATTATATGATGCATTTCATATATAATTTACTTTTATTTCATTTGAAATTCTATTTTTTATATTGTTATATTGAATTAAATGTATCAAAACAAATTGTCTAAATGACCGTCTAGGGCCTCACAATCGCTCTAGACGGCATAAGTACTCCAGGCATCTTACGTCAAGTAATCATAGATATGGCTTTGGAGGTACGTAATTATATATGTTCATTTATGTATATATTTCTACTTACGTACGTATTTACCTGAAAAGATCAAATTTCTGAACTTTTTCTTGGGGAATCAGAAATGCACAATACTTGATTCCAGTAAAAGAATACTCCAAGAAATGAAATTATGAAGTCCCTCTTAGCTGTCACGCGTTTTCATCAAGACAGTGGCTGATTCATAACTTTTCTAAAGTGGTAGAGATGGACATAGGCAGGGAGAGATCCATTATGATGAAGGGGGTGATTTTTCCCAGAAACATATAATACCTACTTACTCTCTTGCATATAGAATATATAATAAAGTAAAAATTGTTTAATTTGATTGAGATTTATGCAGAGGAGAGGAGAGAAAAATAATTTTAGCAACATGCTTGTTATAACTTTAAACGAAGATGACAAAATTTTTGGGACGGTCAAAAAATGAAATTTGACCAAGTTTTAATGGACGAATGGAGTACGATACTACCTGCCGAGTGATAATTAATCTAACTTTAATAATTAAAATTTACATATTTAGAAATTACATGAAAATCTCTATAAAGTTGCAAAGTCCATATTAACATTTAATTAAGAATTGATATTCTAATTAAGTTAATAAAATTAGTATGTTTGATCCAAAAAATCAATCTTGCAACTCAATTTGGGACGGAGAAAGTATTTGAAATTATTTAAAAATATTGATAAAAAATTCAAAATCATATAATATGATATTTAAAAGTAAAAATATATAACACTACATAAAGAATAGTTACTTTTCATAATATAAGAGTATTAAAAAACGATCGATTCCTTATATAAATATGAAATTCTATTGCACTTATCTGTTATGTCCATACAACATTGATGTGAGTTTTCTCACACTCAAATAAATAAAATACTATAGAGTGTAAATACGATTGTAACGAGTATCGTCTCCATAGTAAAAGAAAAACGGATATACATGTTACATTATTCCAGCGATTTTTGAATTTTATAAAATAGAAGTGACTATGCGGAAATATAAATTACATTATTTGGTTCTAATGATTGGATGACAAAAAAGAAACATGGATGGGTTCCTCGACAACATGATCGATTTTGAGAACTTATTAGGACTAATCGCACAAAACTTATTTAATTGAGTGATGTCATCGATACTAATTAAATTCTTACCGCGTTTTCGCAACGTAGAGTATTACAACGATTTCGAGAACAAGCTAAGCTAATCTCTAATGCGACATGCTTCTAAATCGATTCCCTAAATAAGATCATATCAATGTCTCTACAAACTATTCACAATTCCTAATTGAATGAACAAACGAATTAAGAAGAACAAACTTTCTTGTCATTAATCGAAAGAAAGAGATTATAAAAAATTTAAGGAATTCACTTGATTCAGAGCCAAAAACAACAAAGTATTCATCCTAGACTTATTTGTAAAGTTCGCCATTCAAAAACCCGGGTCTAGGTCATCTTTAAATATGACTTTTTCGGAATTGGTCCAACCATAAACTCAATATAAACCCAATCTTTTTTCTCGCGTACACGTGTTTCCCTGCATGACGTGCGTGCAATCGTGTGCGTCTCACAAAACTTGTTTCTAAATTTTTCTAAATTGTAAATTTTATATACCCATCTTACAAAAGTTGTAGATCTTGAAGTCCTCTATCCAATACAACTTGATTCACTACATTTGAACGATCCGATCAAAAGATATGACTGAAATAGTGGAAGACATTGATCTTAAAATCTCAATAGAGATTATGTGCCGGTAATATTAATCATCTCTAGTAATTATGACCTAAATTCAACCGATAATATTAATCATCTGTATTAGCAATGTGTACCGAGTTCAAAAAAATATATGATAAGTTTGTGTTTGGGTGCAGGGTATGATTGAAATGGGAAAACTGGAGAGCTTGAGAATTCCAATATATCACCCAACCGAAAAGGAAATGAGAGAAATAATTCAGGAAGATGGGTCATTTACAATTGAAAGATTAGAGAGTTTGAGAATGTGTTGGGATGGATCGAACCTCAATGAAGATGGAACTGATAATGATTTGTACCGTTTTGTGGACGTTGGAAAGAGAGGCGTGTTCTTGACCAAATATCTTAGATCCGTCTTTGAGCCCATTTTGAGAGCACAACTTGGAGAAGGGCTCATGGATGAACTATTTCTTAGGTTTCAGAACAAAGTTACCCAATTCATGGACCGATTGGAATATCCTATTTTGGTTTTGTCTCTCTTTGTTAATTGATTGGGAATATTAATTTATCAAGTTATGTATGAAAAATATTATCATACATGTATGGGTAAATTCAACATTTCAATAAAACAGTATAATATTTAAAACGATTATGTATAATATTTAGACTCCTGAGTAATCTCCTTGATGGACTAGCTCTTAGTTTCAGGGGTTACAAAGGTATAGCTACGTACAAGTTTATCTCTTTGTTTTATTATGAGTGAAGTTATGAATAAAGTCGTGTTGTACGTTGTTTTGCCATGAGTTCGTCTAACTGCTATGTTTATTGTCTTGTTTAATTTTTTCAGCACGATATTGACATGATTTTTTTAATCCAAAACTAGTATAGTACCCGTGCGTACGCACGGGAAAGAGCAGTTGGTGCATATATTTGTACACATGATCTAATTAAATATTAAAATAAAAATAACTTTTCAAAAATAATTAGAGTATAATGAGCTATTACAATTAAGCATAAGCCCATATAATAAGGGAAAGTTAATTGACAACACTCATTAGAATTTGCTACTTATGAATTTTCATGATTAAGTTGATTTTAAAATTATATATTATTCTAAAAAAGTGAGTACAATAAGTGAGTGACATAAAATTTAAGTGACTACAATAAATATTAAAATTAATGATATTAGTTAAATAAGAACTTGATACTCATGAGTCAAATTAGTGCTAACATATGATAAAGAAAATTATCCTGCTAAACTATTAGTCGTCTTATCTTATGCCAAAAAACTATGTTGCGGTTAATTCCAATTGTGTGCATATTTGCAGGTTTACACTCAATCGGACCGGTTCTGGGACGGGGTGGCCGGCCGAGATTCGGGTCGAACCACCCGGTACGTCCGATTATCTTAACACAACCTAAAAGAATTAAATATAGGAGAAAATTGTCTCGCTGAATTGTTAGCCGGCTTATCTAATACTTAAAAGAACTACATATATGAGAGAAAATTCTCCAATTCAATTATTAGCATGTTTATCTTCTAGTACCTAAAAAGACTAAATATGAGAGATAAAGCTCTGCCGCTCAATTATTAGCAAGCTTATCATATTATATCTAAAAGCACTACATATATATGAGATAGAAAATTTTCCTGTTCAATTGTTAGCTGACTTATTTTCTTTATACCTAAAAGCAGTAGATATGAGAGAGAAAATTCTCCCGCTCAATTGTTAGCTGGATTATCATTATCATACTCAAAAGAACTACATATGTGAGAGAGAGTTCCCCCGCTCAATTGTTAGCTGAATTATCATCATCATATTTAAAAGAACTACATATGAGAGAGAATGTTTTCCCGTTCATTTGTTAGCAAACTTATCTTCTTATCTTCATCTTCATTTTCATCTTCATATACCTAAGAGCACTACATATGAGGAAGACAATTATCCCGCTCAATTGTGAGCCGACTTATCTTATAAGGAATACTTAAAAGAACATATGAGAGATAAAGTTATCTCAATCAATGGTTAGTAAACTTATCTTCTAATACCTAAAAGCACTACTTATGAGAGAGGAAATCTCCTGCTCAATATTCTCGCTCAATTGTTATCAAGCTTATCTTCTAATATCTAGAAGCACTACATATGAGAGAGGAAATTTTCCCTCTCAATTATTAGCATGCTTGTCTTCTTCTTATACCTAAAACTACGCCATATGAGAAATAAAATTTTCACACTCAATTGTTATCTAACTTATCTTATAACTAAAATCACTATATATGAGAGATAAAATTCTTCCTCTGAGTTGTTAGTCAGCCTATATTATACTTGAAAGAACTACATATAAGAGAGAAAGTTATTTTGAACAATTGTTAGTGAACATATCTTCTATCTTCTAATACCTAAAAGAACTACAAATGAGAGAGAAAATTCTCCCGTTCAACGCCCCTGTTCAATTGTTAGCAAGCTTATTTTCTAATACGCAGAAACACTACATGTGTGAGAGAGAATTCTCCCGCTCAATTATTAGCAAATTTATCTTCTTATATCTAAAACCACTACACATGAGTAGTGATAAAATTCTCTCGCTCAATTGTTAACCGACTTATCTTATAACTAAAAGCACTACATATGAGAGACAAAATTCTTCCGCTCAATTGTTATCCGGCTTATCTTCTTATACATAAAAGAATTACACACTCAATTGTTACCAAATTTATCTTCTAATACCTAGAGGCATTACATGTGAGAGAGAAAATTCTCCACTCAATTATTAGCAAGCTTATTTTCTAATACCTACAAACACTACATATGAGAGAAAATTATCACGCTCAATTATTAGCAAGCTTATCTTCTTATACCTAAAACAACTACATATGAGAGATAAAATTCTCGTGATCAATTGTTAGCCGGTTTATCTTATAACTAAAAGCATTACGTATGAAAGACAAAATTCCTCTCCTCAATTGTTGATCAGCTTATCTTATTAAAAAACTTCCTATTTTCCAACCATCATAGGTATAATGGATAAAATTTTGACTTATTTACTTTTAGCGGTTATAATTATATTTTACTTTTAGCAGTTATCAGTTCCATCTTCACAGAGAGTTTGAGATTATGTTGGGATGGATCCAACCTCAATGAAGATGGAACTGATAATGATTTGTACTCTTTGGTGGATGTAAGAAAGAGAGGAGTGTTCCTAAGATCAGTCTTTGAACCTCTTTTAAAAGCACAGCTCGGAGGACTCATGGATGAATTATTTTTGAGGTTTGAGAACAAAGTTGTCCAATTCATGGACCGATTGGAACATCCCATTTTGGTTTTATCTCTAATAAATGATTAGGATTATTAATTTATCAAATGATGTATGCGAAGCATGATCAAACATGTAGTGATAAAGTACACATTGCAATAAAGCAATATTAAATAATGTTATAAATGATGCTTATGATCGAGACTCCTTAGTTAATAGGGGTTTTTTGAAAGGAAAACTGCTTATTTTAATATCATTAGGGTTCGGATCGTTACATCAAACTCAAATACATCCATACTGACAACCACAAACTCTGACCCTACGGCTAGACATAGAAACAACCACCCTTGAAAGAGCGATACGAATCGCTAACCACCAAACGGGTATCCAGCACTAACTACTATATATCGATCCTTATAACAATATAATATCTAGCAGAATTGTCCATCATTATTTTAGGCCTAAAACTAAAGAAATTAATAAAAAAACGGAACAGCGTAATTAAGCAAAACACTAAAAGACACCCACAAAAAATGAAATAACTGGTAAAAACTCCAAACTCTTTCTGAAAACTTCATCTTCCACCAAATCTTGGCATCTCGATCTTTCCAAGGCGGCGGTTCAGAAGGGGACGAATCACCAGCCCTCCCTCTTCCACCAAACTCAGCCGAAGAACCCTAGTGCCGTCATCCTTAGACCCTCCTCTTCCATGAAGAACCAGGTTCGTCCTCTCCACTTCAATCCTGGTTCCCATCCAAGCCATCCCTCCTAGGTGAAATCAAGCAGTACAATGTGTACAACAGAGCACTATCCGCAAATCCCTGCTTGAATTTGGCACAAATTACTTTCAGCCAAAGGAAAATTAAACACGTTGCTAGAGAAGTAAATCAGCCGCCCTTGACAAGCTTTGTTTATTGCCTTGTCGTGAAGTACCAGAGCACCAATTAGTGAATCGATCCTTTCCGATTGCTACTGTTGCCGTGAATCAATCGCCACACTCCAACCAATCCTTCGTTCACGATAAGTGCCCCAGCCAACAAAGAACCTGTCACGAGAGATCGGAAACCTGCTCACAACCTCCTATGGAATTGAGAGACTTTTTCCGTCAGTCACACGAGCCGCACGATCGGTGGAGAATCCGGCCGCCACTCCCAAAGGCCAAAACTAATCCTAGACGATGCTAGGCCCTTCCGCTTCCAGTTAATAGGGGTTATAAATTGTATTACTCCGTATAATTTATGCCTTTGTTTTGTTATAGGTGAATATATGAATAAAATTTTCTCTTTGTTTCGCTACAAGTGAAATTCTGAATAAAATTGGTGTCTTTATTTTGCTACGATTTCTTCTATATAGCTAGTTTCTTATATTGTAGACCGTGTCTTTTGTCTTGTTAATTTTCTTAACATATTATCAGCATTAGTTCTTTATATATCCAAGAATCTTGTTACAAGTGAGGATTTTATTTTGTACTAGTTGCTCCACCACGTGTAGTACCTATATGAAAGTTTAGAAGCAACTATATAAATAAAAAAAAAAATAACAGTCAAAATGACCAATTTATTAAAAAAATTGAATAAAATCATAAATAAGTTTATGGATGTAGTAACATAATAAGAAATAAATTGAAAAAATTAAATGTTAAATATATGTGCATGTATTTCCATGAAATTGTCAAGGAAAGTTACAAATTACTAAAATCCTTTGTATATAAAAGGCAACACTCACTTTGTCCGTCGTTCTTTTTTTGAAGGAAAGGAAGGAAAATGGTCGTTCTCTTCAGTCACATATCACAAACATCAAATCACGTACAACCATTTATGCATAAAAATGGGCTGACAAAAAAATGCCAAATTTTTTCTAGACTTTGTTATTAGTCATTGCATACCTGAAACCTAACTATTAATGAAGTTCTCCGCGCGTTACGGCATGCATTGATGGGGTCAATAAAGAACATATTTAAAAAGAATATATTTATAAAGAACATTATATTAAGATCTTGGCTACTCACTCTATTAGATTGATCTTTTAAAATGGTATCAAAGCCAAATCAATTCATGGTGTGGGTCCTCTTATGAAAAGTGAAACCACAATTATATAAAAGAATAACAATGACGAACCAATGAAAAATGAATAACAACACAATCCAAAAAGTGTCTGGTCGCAAGGAGGGGTGATGTTGTCCCACACCGGATATCTTTAAAACAATTAAGCATTGTATTAAGATCTTGACTACTCCTCATATCGGGCTAACCTTTTAGTTTTAGGATGGAATCTCAAGCTACTAAACGGACAACAAGGACCCCAAGCGGCTATTCAAGCAAGGAAAACTTCATCCTTTCACAAGTAATGGAATCAATGGAAGAAACTATGCTTCCAACTAACCAATCCAAATATCCAATGACCGGGCCAATTTCAAAGCAACTCAACTACTCGCTTTTAACCAAGTCTACCAATCGACTAAGAGAGTGGGCGGCTCATATTGGCATAATGAATTGCATCCAATAGTATCATCGGTATACCCATGCCTGGGCCCTATCCCCAAGCC